CCTTCTTCGCCCGGGCCACCTCGGTCTCGCGAAGAGCCTTCTCTTCGACAAGTAGGCGCCTGAGCCTCTCAATTTCCGCCTCGGCCTTTCGACGGACACAAACACTTTCTTCGGCCTCTTTTCGCCTTGCCTCCTGTTCGGCAACAATCAGCGCCTCGGCGGCCCGTGTCGCTGCAACCGCCTCAGCAATCTTTCTCTCGGCTTCAACCCGAGCAGTCTCAAATTGCTCCTGGGCCGCTGCATGCTCGCGAGCTGCAGAATCATAAGAATGAACCATAGTGTTCATCGAGGAGAAGGCCTGGAAAGCAAAGTGATAAATACGTTAAAACATGAAACAAGGCTACCTTATACGAAAAAGGGGCTCGAACGCATACCTTTGAGAAGTTGGCCGCGGCCTCGCCGTACAACTCTGCCTCGACCAAGCCCTCTGGAGCGGGAAGCAGCGGCCAGGCGCAGGAAGCGATAAGGTTGGCAGAAGCAACCTTATCCTGGTAAATCGGCTGTGAAGAGCTGTGAGTCCTCTTTGACTTTTTGCGCCTGTCCCCGGAATGATCTCCTCGGGGACGTTTCGCCTTAGACTGGGCTTGCCCACCAGCAGGCAAACCAACCACCAGTGCATTTCTCGCCTCGGGAGCCTGGTAAGCAATATCCCCAATCGGGATACCCTCGGGCACCTAGGAACGAGCTACAGCGACAGTCAAGTCGGCCCCCGATCCCATGGGATCGACTATCACCTCGGGGTCAACGGTCACCTCGGGCGGGTTTAAGGGTCCAAAAGCGGCCTCGATCGCTATATGCTCTTCTCGCGCTTTCTTCTCGGCAGCTTTCCTTTCCCTCAATGACATTTTTACCCCTTGCATCTCCACTAAAAAGTTGAGCTTTTGATCTGAAGAGGATGAAGAGGTAGAACAGGACGCACCGTGAAGAACCCTCAACGCTTTTTCAACCCTTTCTTGAGAAAAGTGTTTAATCCAATGGCACTTCCGAGCAGCCAACTCCTCACGCACGCTGAAAAGGTCCTCGGGAATACGATCCAAGAAGCTCGGGCCACGGTCTGCAAAAAGAGAAGATTTCACTTAAAGAAGTCAAGTTAACACAAAACAAACAGAAAAATCTCGGATCAACTACCAATCTTTCTCCATTTCCCAATCATTTTTCCAAGACAGCCCTCGGGAACGCAGTCTTCGTCGAGAGCAACGAAGAAAAAATGGTCGGTATACTTCTCATCCTTGCTGGGGAAGCCGCCAATAACTTGTCGCCTCGGACGAGGAGAAATATAATACCTCTCCATCTCGCAGCTCGGCACACGACGAATCTCCAGCAAATTCCTCAGATGATCGAGACCAATGTTATTATATGTCTCGAACCAACGTACTAAGATCCCAACCAGATGTCGAAGGCCTCGGGTCGTGATCTGGGCCAGAGCAAGCTTGTAAGACCATAAGTACTCAATGATCGGCCTCGGGATTGGGAACCAGAGGAAGCAGAAATAAAAGAATCCTTCATACAAAGTAAAAAACCCCTCGGGAGGATCATCGGCTCTCTCATTGGGGGTCGGCAACCGTAAAACTACCGCCTCGCTGAAGTTAAAACGTGCCTTTAAATCCCGAAGTGAGTCTAAGGTCGACAGAGTAGAACCGGGAGGATCAGGTTTTCGAACTTTTCTGGCTCGGGTTTTCTTCTTCTGAGCCATGGCACCTTGAATCGCCAGCTGAAGTAGCCTGGCTCCCTCCTCGGGATCGTAGGTAACCATCTCGCCCTTCACCTCGGGCAAAACCGGCAGCTCGGGTTTGTCCTGCCAATGAGAAACCCCAGCCTCATCTAAAGCCGAAGGACGTGTCCTCCTCCTGTTCAAAACCGCTTCGGGATCATCGGGTAGATCCTCGTCCCGAGCCATGTTAGCAATTGTATCTTCCCGAGCCACAAATTGGCTCGGAACCCCTTTACTTCCAGACGACGATTCTGCATCACCACTTGACTCAGATCGATCTGACAAACTGGCCTCGGGCCCATCCGAGCTACTCCAAACCATTTTTCGTTTATGGATAGGAATATCTCTGCCTCGGGAAGAATCGCTCGAATCAGAAAGGGACATCAATCTGCTCGGGTAAATCGAAAGAACAACCGGAGAAACAGAATTCAGGACGCCGGCAAAATCAACCTAACTCTAGCAACGGCGGAGACACGACGGAGATAAAACGGAAAAAGAAACTAAGAGAGAAATCAAGATCAGAGCAAAAGAAACAAACCTTTGGGTTTTTGCTCGAAAATTGCTGAACTGAAGAAAGAAATTGTGAGACGAGTACTTATAGAACACTTCGGCGCGTCAGACGCGCGTGAGCTCGGAGAGAGTTTCACGTCCGCCGAAATCTTGGGAATAAGCAAAAAACATTTCCACTTCTCGAGAAGGAAACTCAACCGTTTCACGCTAGAAGAAGGAGAAACGCCAAAAAGATTCGAATCTCCAAAGAATATGTACCGTCAGAGAAATATAAATTGCCTCTGCGCACAAGGATAAGCTCGGAATAGAGCTTAAACCGCTCGGGTTAGTAATCATGAAGCTCGTCACTTGCTCCTCAAGACAACGAGCTGGGGGCTAACTGTTGGGGTCGGATTCCACCCGCGTTAAGTTCGAGCTAAGACATAACACCTCGGGACATATCACCAGACCAGCTCGTGGAACCAGCCCGTACTATGGCCGAGCCAAACCGTAACCCTTAGGGTACATTGATAGTCAGCTCGGGACATCTTCCAAATCGGCTCATGATACACTGTTGATTTGGCTCGAGAGCACTGACCAAATCGGCTCAGGGACACCGCTTAGATTGGCTCGGGGTGCAACGGCTCGGGGTGGCGTTAACTTTTCACCTCAACCCGAGCCAAATGCACATGCTGTCCCGAGGCAGTGTTAAGCGTACCCGAGGCGATCCTTCACTACTTCCCGAAGCGAAATATCGAATGCTACCCGAGGCGAAATGTGTGTTGTACCCGAGGATGGATGCAGAGACCTTCCGAGGCAGGACTTAGAAATATTCGCTTCAGAGTATCATTCTAGCAAGTATCATTTCGA